GCCTATAGGCTATAGTCAAAAACTAATCGATCCGTGTGCATTCCAATCCTGAATTTTTTTTTTATTTTTGAATTTTTTTTTCAGTCTTTTTATACCGAATTATTGTCCTTTTTTTCGGTACTTACTATTTTATTTCGGATTCCTTTTTTTTCGAAAATTCCCTTTTTTAAACTGATTTCTTTCTTTATCTTTCTTTTCTCCAAATTATTGTTCGTATTTTTTTTCTTTTTCTTTCGGATTTTTTTTTCTTTTTTCTTTTTTCCTTTTCGGTTTCTTTTTCAACCCGATTTTTCTCTATTTCCCTCCCCCAAATTTTTTTTTTTCGTTTTATTTTTTCGAATTATTTTTATTTTTATTTTTATTTTCCGTTTTTTTCTGGATGACTTTTTCTCCAATCCGAAATTTTTTTTCCCCTTTTCCTTTTTCGGTTTGGCTTTTCTTTTCAAACCGAATTTTTTTTTCCCAAATGCATTCACCATTTAAGTTTAGACCAATGCTGCAGTGCCACGGCAATTGCCTTTTTTCCCAATTCTTATTATTTAATGATAATATTATTTTTTAGGCTGTATCAAACTCAATAATAGACTTATTTATTTATTTTTTATAACAATAGATCATTATAATTAATATTTCTGGGGATTTTTTTTTTTCATAACAATAGAATCCTTATAATTAGTTTTTCTGGGAATTTTCTTTTCATATTAATTAGTGAGGTTACGGTACATTTCGCCGAAAAATAGGGCCAACATTATGCAGAATTATAAATAACTCAGGCCAAAGATTATTTTTCATCAGTTTTAAGTCACATGATTTAACGTAAAAAGGTTTCCAAACGAAATTTGTAGAGTTTTTGTTTGATTTTAGGGTACAAGGGTAGTAGATACAAAATGAATCTATTATAAATTTTCTTTTTCCGTTCTTGGAAACGGAGTTAGTTATGGTGTATCGTAGATTAATTTATTACTGCCACGGTAGTATACTGCTATATATTTCCTTAATTTTGTATAAATTTATTTTTATATTTGCTTAATAAAGGGAATATGTTACTAATAAAAAAAAAATATATATATATATTTGCAAAATTACAGGATCACTTTTAGAATTATTTAATTATATTTCAGTTTTCTATAACTTCAATAAAATTAAAAATTAAATTAAACAAATGTCCTTTTAACTTTTATCCAAGTTTTCAAAAAAATGAATTTATGTCAAACTCATAATTCTATTGATTTCATTATTATTGAATCTGTTACTTGAACACAATTACATCACTATCTGGTAAAATTGAAAGAGATTTTTGAAAATGGCAGAATCGCCTTAATTTGATATTACTTTTATGTACTGTATGTATGTACTGTATGTTAAATCTTTTGCATCAAAATAGTTACTGGATAGTTAGAAATAATCAAACTAATTTACATAAATTGAACAGCCAATAGCTAACCAATTGTAATTTATTTTTGTTAAAACCAAATATTACATACAAAATCATAAATAATAACTAGTATAAAAGAATAATTTAATAGTATAATTTTAATTAAACTAAATTCTTTGATTCTTATAAAAAAAATCATTCAGTATTATTTTCTTCATCTTGATCACTTTCGTTAAGATCTACAAAAATAAGTAAATTAATAAGTATTAGCAAAATAAAGAACTATAGAATAAATATCTTTACCTAATTCGTCTAATTGACAATCCAAACATTCTGAACCTATAAATTAATTAACATGATATTAAAACAATATAAAGATTTATTTATTATATTGGTTACAAATAATTACTTACGTAATGTTGTTTTAGTAGCATCTATTAAAAAATAAAGTTATTAGTAATGTAAACATTTTTTTTGGTTACCAAAGTAAAGTTAAATTAATTACCTGAATTTACTGGTTCTGGAAGATTTTTGAAATTTAAAAGTCTACTAGTATAGATTGCTTGTGGATGTGTTTGAATGTTGTTAGCTCTTTTTTCACTTGTTCTGTTTAATTTGATTTTATCATTATACTCTTTCATTTGAGATTTAAAAGATTTAATATCACTATCATCATATTTATTATTTTTCCATTTATTTAATGTTTGATACAATTCTTTAGCAGTTGGTCTATTGTCTGCTTTAGCATCCCAACATTTAGTAATCAAATCTGCAAGTAATTTTGGTGTATATTTAAAAATATTTGGTCTAAGTCCTTTACATATTTTAATAGATAAAGCATGATTATGAGGAATATTATTATAAGGAGTTTCTTCAGATATAAATTCATTCATCATTATTCC